CACCACCCTGACCCCCACTGCTTTTTACAACCAGAAGTTATAGGGATTTATCTTCCTGGCATTGGAACCGGGGCTATGTGGTTTGGCTTGGGGCTAGGATCCTTTGCTTCTGAGGTATCCCTCCCTATTTTTATCTACCACACATGAGAATGAAGGACTGCCCATTCTAATGCCTCTCTGGCCATACCAGGTCTCTACAGTTCTCTGCCTGTCTGGATGAACGTGGCTTCTTTAAATCCTTGGTTGTTGGACTTCCTTCCATACAGCTCGATTTTCTGATGGTTCTCGGTGTTATTTGTTTTGAGATATAGTTGTAATTTTTTCTATATTTGTGCAAGACAAAGTGTGTTTACCTATGCCTCCATCTTGACCAGAAGTCTAGTCACTTTTCTTACAGGTACAGTTTAACTGACGTTAAATTGGTACAAACTAAAAACTAATCTTGTCCTTTCAGAAACACTTTTTGTTTTCCCCACTTCTCTTTATGTTTTAATTTTCCTGTGTATTACATTTAATGCATTGAAAACCACAACAGATGATATTTTGATAACTATTTTTAATAGTAATATGTATTTTCAAGAATATAATCTTTTACATTTACCACATATTTACCACTTTCATTGCTCTTCTTCATCTTAGATTTATCTATATAATAGTATTTCCTTTTATCCTGAAGAATTATCAGTTTTTTAAGAGCAAGTCCAATAGTCACTAATTCTGTCAATTGTCCTTCATTTAAGGATATTTTTTATTTTGCCTCATTCCTGAATGATATTCTCTCTGGATATAGAATTTTTAGTTGATAGTTTCTTTCTTTAAAGATGTTGTTCCATCATCTGGTGGTTTCTGATTATAAGTCCATGAGTATTTAAATCCTTAGCTCCTTTCAAGCTTTACTTTTAATTTTTGGTTTTTATCAGTTTGACTATGAGGTATCTATTTTATCTTTAGTGATATATTTTTGACATATATGCAGATTTAAGGTATATAATATGGTGATTGATATACATATATATTGTAAAATGATTACCACAATAAGGTTAAACACCTCCATCTTCTCGCATCATTACCTTATCATTGCTGTGTTAACATGTAAGATCTATTCTCTTAACAACTTTCAAATATTTAAATAGTGTTGATAATTATAGTCATAATGCATTATGTTAGATTCCCAGAACTCATTTATCTTATAGCTGTAAGTTTGTATCTTTTGCAAAAAATTTTTCCATTCTCCTCATACACCTCAGCCCCCGAAAAATCACCATTTTACATTCATCTCTCTGAGTTTTGGTTTTATGGATTCCACATACAAATGATGACATATAGTATTTGTCTTTCTGTGTCCAACAATTTTACTTCCTTTCCCATTTAGATGCCTTTTATATATTTTTCTTGCCTAATTGCTCAAGGTAGAACTTTTTTCTTTTTAATAGGGGGAGGAGGATACTGATTAGACAGGAGGAAACATGCCATTAGTAGGGTCTTGTCTATTATTCATTCAATCACTCTATACCATTTGTATGGAGAATTTATTTCCATTTAAAGTAATTATTTATAGGTAAGGGCTTACTAATGCCATCTTATTAATCATTTCCTGGCAGTTTTGTAATTCCCTTGTTTCTTTCTCCCTTTTTGTCTTCCTTTGTGATAATATGATTTTTAATAGTGGTAGGCTTTAATTCTTTTATCTTTTGTTTATCTACTATAGGTATTTGGTTTTTGGTTATTATGAGGTTTACCGAAAACATCTTATATTTTAAGCAGATAATTTAACTTCAGTCGCATATAAAACTACCCTTTTACCTTCTCTCCCTATTTTTTATGTTTTAATGTCATAATTTATATCTTTTCAATATCGTGTACCCATTAACGAATTATTATACTCTTAGTTATTTTTAATGCTTTTGCCTTTTAACTTTCGTACCAGAGTTAAGTGATTTACACACCATTACAATATTAGAGTATTCTTAATTTGACTATGTACTTACCTTTCCAGTGAGTTTTATGCTTTCATATCTCTTATGTACTGAAAGCATTCCTGCACTTCAGCTTGAAGAGCTTCCTTTAACCTTTAATGTCCAGTAATTCATGTAGGGTTGCTTAACTCTTTCCATTCCTTTTTCTCCTCTGATTTGATAATTTCAAATGACTTGTCTTTAAGCTGACAGATTCTGCTTGATCAAATCTGCTGTTAACGCTCTCTATTGTATTGTTCATTTCATTCATTGTGTGCTTCAGCTCCAGAATTATTGTCTAGTTCTTTTTTTAAAAAATAATTTCTATCTCTCTGTTAAACTTCTCATTTTGTTCATAATTTATTTTCCCTGATTTGGTTAAGTTGTCTATCTGTGTTCTCTTGTAGCTTGCTGAGCTTCTTTAAAATAATTATCTTAAAGTCTTTGACAGTTTGTAGATCTCCACTTCTTCGAGGGTGGTTATTGGGAAATTATTATGTTCCTTTGTTAAGTGTCATGTTTCCTTAATTTTTGTCATTCTTGGAGCCTTGTGTTTTTTCTGTGCGTATGTTGGAGCAGTTGCCTCTTCCAGACTTTACAGACTGATTCTGGTGGGAAGAGCCTTCACCTGTGGGTGGATGCAGAAACATTGGCTGGATGAGCTGTTTCAGTTCTAGCTCCAGGGCATGCCATGTAAGTGGCATAATCTCCATGTAGCTCTGTCAACTTAGGTCAGTATTGGTGAAGATTGTATGGGTCCCCACAGACCAGGCTTATGGGTGTCTGGAACTGCCATGAGTGCTGGTGGGAACTCCTCATCTCTTTTTCTCCCCTGAGGGATGTCATGGCCAAGGGTATCTCTGTTGGTGCTAGGCTTAGCTTGTAGGTGCCCTCACAGTGGTGATGGCACTGAAGTCTGATGCCTGGGCACCCGTGGAATAACGACAGACCTGGGATCTGGAGCACGTGTACTCATGCAGCAAGAGCAGCTCCAGGGTCTAGGGCACTGGCTTGCCATCAGTAATAGTAATTCTGTGCCTTAAGTGTGTGCACACATGGAATAGCCATGGAGCTGGGGGCTGGAGCACATTCATTTGCAGAGGACAATGGTTCTGGGGTCCAGGACAATGAATAGCCCACAGCAGTGGTGTGGTGTTGGCTCCAGCATCTGAGATGCAGGTACACGTAGAGTAGCGGCTGATTCAGGGTCTGGAGCACAGGCACACACAGTGAAGTCAGTGTTGGGGTCTGAAACATGGATGTGCATGGAGAAGCTAGGGCTCTGGGATCAGAGGCCTGTGTGGAGTTTGGGATGGGGGCTGATAGCCTTGGTCCAGGCAGCACAATAGCAATTCCTTATGAGGGAGGTATAGCAGCATCTGTCTCCCTCAGAGGTCCATGGTGGTGATGGCAATTGGTTACTTCAATCATAAAAGCTGCTGGTGTCCTCTGTGGAGCAAGCGGCTGGGGTCTGTGCCGAAGGACATAACAGGCTCCTCTGCTGTGAAAAATGCTAGGAGTTTGTCGCCATCTTCAGCAGCGAGGATTGCAGGGGTCCTCCACAGAGCAGGACAGTGAACTCCATGATGGCACCTGCTGTGTGGCCGATATTGATAGCATTGGCCCTTCTTCTTTGTTCCTAGCTGTCTATAGATGTCTCAGCTGTGCCAGCCTCTCCAGTGATTCTTTCTATGGGGTTATTCTGGTGTTTTGCTTCACTTCCTTGCTGTGGGTTCTTAGTTGGACTCTTGTGCCCTCCCAGGGCTATTTTCATCTGTGGATGGCTGTCTAATTGTTGTCTTTTTGTGGGGAGACAAAGGCCAGTATTTTCTACTCTTGCATCTTGCTGTTGTCCCTCTCCTTTCTTAGTATGGGCACTTAAAGCTATAAATTTTCCCCTGAGCACTGTTTTATTGCATCCCATAAGTTCTTGGTATATTGTCTTCATTTGCATTCATCTGAAAATATTGAAAATATTTTTTATATTTTCTTTTGATTTATTCCTTGATCATTAGTTATTTATGATTATGTTGTTTAATTTCCACATGTTTGTGAGTTTCCCAAATTTTCTTCTGTTATTTATTTCTAATTTCATTACTTTGTGGTTAGAAAACATACTTTCTGTTATTTATCTGCTTTAAAATGCATTGAGTTTAATGGCCAGGGTATGGTCTACCTTCGATAATGTTTCATATACACTTAGAAGAATGTATATTATGTTTTTGGATACCGTTATCTGTAGGTATCTGCTAGGTCTAGTTGGCTTCTAGCATTGTTCAAGTTTTCTGCTTCCCTATTGATCTTCTGTCTAGTTGTTCCATCTACTACTGACAGGGAATTATTGAAGTTCCAACTGTTATTGTTGATTTTTTTTCCTCCTTTCATTTCTGTCAGTTTTGGTTTATGTACTTTGGATGCTTTTTTATTAAGTCCACATATATTTATATTTGTTATGTTTCCCTAATGGATTATAGATCCTAAGTTTATACGTTTTGTAGTTAACATAACTTTCCCCCATATTATCATTAGCTTTTTGTTTTTCACTGATGGAGGGGTGTGTGTATGTGTGTGTGTGTGTGTGTGTGCATGTGTGTGTGTGTGCGTGTGTGTGTGTGTGTAGATAATTCAGTGGGGATCTGAGATAGGCTCTTTCAGGGACCACAAGACAAACAACTGGTGCTTAAAGTTGGAGGTGTCATTTTTAGTATTCAAAATAGAAAAATCTACAGTTAATTTTATCATGTTGTTTTTATTTGAAATGTGGAAGAGGGAGAGCAATAGAAACAGAACTTTAAGGATGTTGAGGATATTGAGCAAAATACATTCTTTTATTTCATCAACCACACTGAAGATCTAATTAAGTAAAAGCTCCTATGTTAGGATGCACAGGAAATATTGCTTCATCTATTTTTCAGACTGATTGGAATCATTAAATAACAACCTTAAAAAATCTCTGAAACCCCTAAAAGCTTTGTACACTATTTGTCAAAATGATGAGATTTTTTCAGAGAGTTGGAATCATATTAATTAAAACATTCCTAATAGGGACAACAGTAACGGATCCATTTTGGGAAACTATTCGTGATCAGATCTTGGGCAAGCCGTCTAATGAAATCAAAGAGTGTCATAAACCAAAGCCAGTACTTGTTCACACTGGAGAGGTAAACCATTTTTGTTATCATGGTAAAATTAGTATGTTGCTTTTTTAAATTTATTAATTGTTGGATAGGAATGGTGGATCTCTATTGGCATGGGAGGTTTTATTCAGATATTCCCACGTCAAAATACTTAATATCAAAAGTATAGATGCTATAAGTCTAAAAAATAATAGGTATGATTATTAAGTATTTTAACTTTGAAGCTTTGATAAATAACTAAAACAATTGGAACACTGAAAAAGGAAGAATAAGAATAACATTTGTCTTATTTAAGATTCATTTATATTGTGTCCAGGACAGGAGTTCACATAGAATTCTCTACAGAGAAAAACATCTCAGGGCATATAAAAAGGAACATGTTCATGTCTCAGTTTTCTTATCATTCAAGCAATGTTATTAACTAAAGCAATATTCTTTTAATACTCCTTTGGAACATGAATTTTCACATTCTAAATGTCAAAATGTGATGCCAGTATTTATAATATGAACTGTTGATTTAGGAAAAATATTTAAATAGAGGTCCCCCCCCCCCCGCAATATTCAAATAAAATTCTTCAGGAAGAAGAAATAAAGGAAAGGAAAGGAATAGACAGAAAAATTCAACACTAATTTGAGTATGGAAAGGAATAGATTCTCTTGGAGAAAACTTGGAAAGTAAGGCAAGGGTACGTAACTGAAAATTTAAAGTGCTAGTAGAGTAAAAAGAGAAATTATCAAGTTAAGCTATTCCAAATGATGGAATGACTTACTTATTCTGTATAAGGATAATCACCAAGGTACTCTAGTAGAATCCTTCGTTACCTATTACACATTATGATTCCACAATGCAAATCCACCAAAACCTTCAAAGATGAGAAAATAAGTCCAAGTTAACAGGGCATTGACTTTTGATATTCACATGTTATTACTATATAGAATATTTAATGTGATATCATAAATTAGAAACAGAATCTATGATAGTAGGATAAGACACCAAAAGCAGGTAGAAACATTTAAAATCTTTAATAAAGAAACTTCTGTGATCATCACATATTTCTTGACCATAGGAGGAATAATATTCCTAACACAATGTTCATGTTTTGGGTTCTTAGCTGTCAAAACCTCATCCCTGGCACCCAGATATTGTTGATGTTCAGATTATTACTCTTGGGTCCTTGGCCATAACTGCCATCCCTGGGGAGTTTACGTAAGTTCTTATTTTTTATTTTGTAGTTAAAGTTGTGATTATTGGATATGTGTTTCTGTTGGAATCCCTTGTCATGGGCAGATGATTCTGTACTGACTCCTTGTAGCTCACTGTACTGTATTTGGCAACAATGACAAATATTCCCATTCTCTTTTTGTGGGATTCTGAAGAATGCATCTCTCTATTCTTGTTACTAGTGTGTAAGTTGAAGCAAACATAAAAACTTGAAAACTTATCATTTCAAATTAAAGTGATGTGGTAAACTATGATGTCAGTAGAAAGACTTGAAATAATATTAAAATACAGATTATGAAAACAATCAGTTTAGGCTTTAGAAGCACAAAAGAATGTTTTAAATCGACCCTTTATGCAGCCTTTCCTATCTTAGTAAGAAGCAATTTTATATCTTTCCTGTTGCTCAGGCCCTAAATCTTGGAGTTATTCATGAATTCTCTCCTTTTCAATTGCTTCCACTTTCTATCCTTCAGCGAATTCTGTATGTTCTACCCAATACTTTCTATTACTTCCCCAATGCCCCAACTCCCCTCTGGTCTAAGCTGCCATTATTTCTCTGTCTCACCTTCACTTCTCTATAGCATTTTTATCAATGCCACAGATGGAGGAATCCCTTTAAAATAAGTTGTGTCCTGCTCAAAACCTCTACGGGCTTCCCATCTCACTCTAGTAAATCCTCAAACCCTCACAATATCCAACAGGGTCCTTTGGTCTGATTTCACATGACTCTCCCCCTCCCCTTCCCTGCTTCAGCCACTTTGGCTTCACTGCAATTGCCAGCGTCACCGAGCATGCACTTTTGAACTTACAGCTCCTTCTGCCTGAAACACTTAGTCTCCAGTAATCCCCATGACCAGCTCTTTTACTCCTTCAGTTCTCTGCTCAGGTCTCTCACGGAGATGCCAGTCACGCTATACAATATGACGTTCTCTTCACCCAGCCCCGCTCCCACCGTATTGCTACAGCATCAGCATCATTGCCAGTACCACCACCATCACCACAATGACCATACCATCGCCATTCCCTTTCACCTTATATTCTTCATGGCACTTATTGTCATCTCATTGTTTAATTTGCTTACTGACCATATGCCCTTCCTAGAATGCTAGCTCCACACTGCTGAATCCTTAGCATTTAGAAGTGGGCCTGGTATGTAGTAGGAGCTCAGAGTTTTATGAAGGATTATATTAATGAATGTAAGTTCTTTGAAGGCAGGAATAGTACACTCTCTACTTGCCTCAGATCTCATTGACATAGAACATAGAACAATGTATTTTGTTGAATCCATGAATAAAAAATGATTGTGATCTTTTGTTAGTGATATTCATTGATTTTTTCTCATTCCTTCAAGTTATCTATTTTCATTTTAGAATTTGTTTTGAAGATATGACAGTCAGAAAAAAAAGCTCAACTTCAGCTTTGCTTTGTCATTGAGTTCATATATCCTTTATAACTGTGTGATGAGCCAGGATAACTTTTAGGCTTTTACTACAAGTCATTCTGTGTACTTTGCATACATTTGAAATCGAAAAACACTTAGACAATTCTGTTTCTTTATTCAGGACCATGTCTGGGCGAAGACTTCGGGAGGCAATTAAAGCAGTAAGTTAAAATTCAAATAACATCTCTGCATTTATATTTGATGAAGAGAAAAGGATCTCCTGCCTATAGGATCTGTTACCTATTAAATTAATCTTTGCTAAAATGACTAGTTTTCTACTCCTTGAAAGTAATGGCTAGAGGTAAATGTGAAATATTGGTGGTATAAGAACATATTCAAAAATAAAAATAAGGGAAATATAGTCAAGTTAAAATGTTTCATTGGTATTTATGTATTGATAATTTAAAAATTAATAATGATTTATGGATTAAATAGTAAATAACCCCTAAGTACCTTAATATCTTATTGTTTTATCTAAATAAAATCTAATGCATGCTGAGAATTTTGTGTTTTATCCATAATTATGATTTTCTTGATCTTCAGGAAGTATTGGAAATGGTTCTAAAATGACATAATCAACACATCTTATTACTTGGACCTGGAAATAACTACTGTCCTTAGCTAGTAACCTCCCATTACGCTTTTTAGAAAGTTGATAATAAAATATCTTTATTTTAGTAATAAGAAGACTCTACATCTATAAATGCAACCATTACAATGTTTATAGAGCCATTGATTTGTCCAGCTATAGTGCAGAGTTACGGCTGTAACTTTTATCAAGGGCTCTTTGGTACTTCTGCATTCCCAGGCAGTTTTGATCATTAGAAAGAATATTGTTAAGTGAGACATCTTATACTAATGATTCATATCTATGATTGTATGTTAAGTATAACTGGAATTATAATATACTTCAAGATGACGAGTAATTTTACTGGGCTCTACCTTTCCTCCCTCTCAGGAGTTTGCAACTTATGGGATGCAGAATATGACTGTTGTTATTTCTGGTCTAAGCAATGTATACACACATTATGTTACTACCTATGAAGAATACCAGGTAAAGTAAACATTTTTTATTATTTAAGTGAAATATACCCTAAGACTATTGTATCAAATGCAGACTTTCTTTCTCGACTTACTTAATCATGTTTTTGAGAGATAATTTTGTCTTAGGACAAATAAGAAAATGACAAGCCAGAAGTTGTATTTGTAGTTCCAGGTTTACCATTTACAAGTTCAGATTAGAAATCTAGTCTCATTGACTTTCACTTTTCCTGAAATAATTGTTTTGTCAGGAGCACTGGGTTGTGGATTACAGTATTCCTAACTCTGTCCATGATGCTTCTGGTGACTTCAGCTTCTGTAGAACCTGAGAAAACTCCCACTCATGGTTACTATTTATTGAGTGCCCTAGCCAAACACCTTGCAAATGTGATCTTAACCAGTCCTCACAATAAACCCTGGAGCAGGGTATTACTATATTTGTGGTATAGATTAAAAAAACAGAATCTCAGAGAAGTTAGAGGAGGCTGCTGGCTGGTAGTGTTTCTTTGTTTACAGATAGTACAGAAAACAGCCCAACTACTTTTTAACAATAGCAGTTAAAAATGTGAGAGCAGTTTATTAATTTATTTTAAATAAGTCATTTTTAAAAAGATTTTATTTATTTTTTTAGACAGAAGGGGAGGGAGGGAAAAAGAGAGGGAGAGAAACATCAATGTGTGGTTGCCTCTCGTGTGCCCCTGACTGGGGACCTGGCCCACAACCCAGGCATGTGCCCTGACTGGGAATCAAACCAGGGACCCTTTGGTTCATAGGCCAGTGCTCAATCCACTGAGCCACACCAGCCAGGGAAGAAACATGAGAGCAGTTTAAAGTCACACAATTAATGCTTTCTAATGTATCTGTAGTCTATTCGCAGGCATGTAGTCCACCTCTTGGCAAATGTTCAGTGATAATAGCAGTGGAACCTGCTCTGTGCCCACCATTGAGTTTATCAAAGGTCTCTGACTTCTAGGAAATTCTTTTGAATTGAGGTAGACTTGGATGGGAATAATTTTTCATTTATTCATTTTTCATTTATCTGTAGTTGTTTATTATTTAGTATTTCCTCCAATTATGAATATAGGTGAAAAATGACAATATTAGCAGTATCTCTGACTTCATCCCCAATAGGAACCACAGATATTTTTCATATCACATAGAATTATTTCAGATCTGGAAATATCTTTTACTCTCATCATTATTTCAAAATCATAGTAGTTATTAAATCTGCTACTAGATAATGTTATTCAATAAATAAGCACAAATATTACTTTATCACAAAATTGGCTTTTTATTATTTGTTGAATGTATTTTAATCCAATCAGTTTTCTTCATCAACTTGTGCATTATATTTTATGTATTTAGAAACATTACTCTGAGAGGGGTTCATAGGCCTCAACAGATAACCAAAGACGTTCATAGCACAAATAAGGTTAGGAACCCTGACAAACTCATCTCCTGGTTCAACGACATGCTTCTGCAAGTATTAACATTAATTAGTTAACTGATTCATTCATTTATCACCAGGTACATGTTGGGATATTCAGTACTAGCCAATATCTGGGCATAACAATGAATAAGAATCTGCTCCCATCCTCAGAATTGTTAGAATTTATGCTCTTGTGAAAGGGATGCACAAGGTAGTATAAAAAAAGAAAAAGAGAAAGAGCACCAATCTAGACTAAGTATTTGATCATGGGGACTGGCAGATTTTTTGGAAGATGTAACATGTCTTAAGAAAAAGTAAGAGCTAATTAAGCAAATATAAGTTTGGGAAGGTGTTTCATACTGAGGGAGCTACATACACAAAAGTCCAGAGTGGCAGACTTAGTACATGTAAGAGGCCATAATTAGTTGTTTCATGCAATAAACATGATGAGGCTAGGGAGATGGGCTAGAGCGAAAGGCAGGTTTAGTTGAAGGGTTTTATGCTGTGCTACAGACTTTTGACTCAAGAAGGAAGGTTTTGGGAAACCTGTAGAATTCAAGGAAAGAAATTCTCTGATCAAATTCGTGATTTAGTCCAGTCACTGGGATGGCAGTACAGAAAATAAATTTGAAGGGCAAATGTGGAGATGGAACTGATTATGAAGCCATAATTATGGTTGGGGTGGGAGGTAAGGGTGTGAACAAGGTAAAAGCAGCAGAGACAGAGGAAAATGAAAGAATTCAAGTGATTTTAAGGAACGATGACTTGCAGACTCATAGGACATAGGATGAGGGACAGGGAGGAACCTGGTGACTGCCAGCTGACCCTGGTGTGGGAGGCTGGAAGGATGGCATTCACTGAGAGGGAGAATTTGTCAGGGAAAGCTTGAGTATTTGGAGCGATGAGTTCCATTTCAGATTTGATAAATTTCAGGTTCCTGTGAAACAGCAAAAGGCCTGGAGCTCAGGGAAAAGGAGATGTATTTTGGTTCTAATTTTATAGCTCTATAATGGGTTGAATTCCCCCCTCCCCCCCAGATAGTATTACTACCACCCAATTTATCCAGGAGTTACTAAGACCATCATTTTTCTTCATTTCTTTTCTCCTGCTATACTCCTTAGGGGAAGCATTTGTATTACAAGTACTTAAAATGGTCATAGGCTCAGGAGAACCCAGTGCCTTTAACAAGTAGTTGACGGGAACCATGTACTTTAGCTGGTAAATGAAAATGCCCGTCTCCCTTTGTCGTAATTAATCTTGAATGATGTCAGTTTGAATTACGTGAGATGTCCAAGTGCTACTCCTCATCTGAGGTGTGACACCTCCGTGAACGCATTGAGACATGCTGACGGGTGTATAATACGGCCCTGCCTTTCTTGCAGGTTCAGCGGTATGAGGCAGCATCTACCATTTATGGGCCACACACTCTGTCTGCTTACATCCAGCTCTTCAGAGTCCTTGCTAAGGCCATTGCTACGGTAATCAAAAATTGCATGCATGTGTGTCTCAGGGGTGGGAGATGCAGAAGGCAGCAAAAAAGAACCTTAGCTCTGGGTGTTCAGTTTTTTTAAAAAAAAAACCTTTATATTTGAAATATATATATGGCTATGAGGTATTCCTATGAAATAAAACAGTAAATTTAGATTCAGTAAATGCATTTTCGTGGTGCTTTTTTTCATGTGTATTATCTCATCCTCACAATCATTATGTGATGTATGGAAATGATCACTTTTCCCTTGTTTTTCAGGTGAACGAATAGGTTCAGAGATGATAAGTGATCAGGCTTCTTATAACTAGAACCAGGAGCTGAGCCAGTGCTCTCTAATCCTGGCTATAGCTCCTATTCCAGTCACTGCATGAGTTGAGTGGGTCATCCATTCTGCGATGCCCATTTTTTCATGTTATTACATCTCTGAGATGGAGATGCATCTTCCAAGCAGAGGAATCTTACAATTATAATTGATAACATGATTTTAATTTCTTGGTGGTTCAAAAGTAATAATGGTTGTTATAGTCAATAGAATCTTAGATTTGATGAAGTTCAACAGTACCTGGGAATACACATACACATGGTATCTACCTAAAATATGCACACTTAAGCAAGTTGACCTAAAGAAACTCTCCATGTGGAAATCTTTCCTTTGAAAAGTTATTTATGAAGCTGCACTCTGTTGTCAGATTATTAGTCAACAAAGCAGGATAAAGAATTAAAATAATAGACCATTTTATAATACCACATAAACCCCAATAAGGCTGTGAAACAGTTACGGCATAGAAAGAAAATACGTGCCTTTCAAAGAAAGAGCTTGGATATGTTAAACTGAAACAAATGAAATTGCTGTTTCTATAGGTCAAACAGTTGAATATTGGCAATTTCACATCCTTCACCTAATTAGTTGCTTATTGTGTATTTGAAGTTACAAAACAAGGTATTAGGATATAGTTTAATGTTTCATCATAATATTCTTAATTTTAAGTTTAATATTTTTTCAAAATAGAACTATTTTATTTGTCATCATAGAAGCTATAACTATTTGTACAATATTCAGATTATATAGAAAAAGTATAAACTTATATATAACCCATCCCTAGAGAGAACCACTGTTTAACTTTCAATGCAGTCATAGATCTATAGCTCTTCCCATGGAATCAGATTCTCCCAATTTTATAGTGATACTTAGGAATAGAAGTATGAGTCATTTTGTGGAAATTTATTTTGCAGCATTTTATGGTTATGTATCTAAGACTAGCTATGAGATCTTAAAAAAGCTACTGAGTATCTCTAAGCCTATATTCTCATCTGTAAAATGGAAATGATGATAGATTACATACCTATTGTAAAGATTAACTGTATAAAGTAATTATGAAAGTACATTATATATCTATGAAGGACTATTTACATATGAGGTTAGCATTTTGATGACATTATTGAAGGTGGCAAATTTTGTGGAAAACACAGATTCAACCAGTCAGGATATAGACTGACCTTAACCTATAAATTAAAAATATGTTTATTATATTATTTAATCAGCACAGAGGAGGATTTAGGGAAAAAAAACTTGGTACTGTTTCTAGATAAAAGAGGCCCAAGACTTTTTTTTTTTTAAACTAAAAGAATGATTATGGTGTCATATTACCAAGACTTATCATATGTTAGGGTCTTTTTCAAAGACAAACATTTAAAAATTGTTTGGCCTAGAAGCCAAAGCTGCGTAACATTCTTCCAAACTTATACTCTGATCACTGAATTATATTGCCTGGGGGAGACCCAAACTTTCTTCTAGTACCAAAGGTTTAAATTATGCATATCGTAGGCTCACATTTTAGCAAACCTCTCCTGACATTTTGTTAAAGTCGTGAGCTCTTGGAGGGAGAGGGGGGAGGAGGGATAGCTTCCTTTAATGAAGACATTTCTGGGGATGGGGAACTTGGGAAAGGGTCTTTGCCTCTACATTGTGCCCTCTTTAAGCAAATGTTCTCTATTCTAGGACACAGTAGCTAATCTGAGCAGAGGGCCGGAACCTCCATTTTTCAAACAACTGATAATTCCATTAATTCCTAATATTCCGGATAAAGCACCATTAGGCAAGAATTTTGGGGATGTCCTGCAGCCATTGAATCCTAAGTACAGAGTGGTAAGATTCACAAAGAGATCTTGGAATGCTTCAGAGAAGCTTGTATTTGTGGATGGGGGGCGGGGTGGGGGGGAGGGAGGAGATGTTAATGGCAACACCTGTCTCTAATGATGTGACACATCAGCAGCTGTTAGCAACAATAATTTTGGTAATTGTTCTTATCTCTGCAGAGGCTCTGCAAACATGATAATGGGGAAATAATTATTTTTCAGGTGGTAATTATGTAAAATTGAATTTCTAAAATTCCAATTATTCTTTTTCTTCTTAAATGGATGGTCATGGAATCATTCACTGGAAATCAGAAAGTTGTCTCTTAAATCAAGGATAGGAAAACAAATAGAAATGAATCAGGATTTGTATCACTATTATTTTATATTAACTGTCCTTTAACATATATAATGTCCTTCAAGTTTGTTAAATTATGTATTAGTTCTAATAGATTTGCGGGGGTGGGGTTGGGTCCTTTCTGCATATAATATCATGTTATCTCTGAGTAAAAACAGGTTTAATTATTGCTTTTTGGATTTCTTTTCTGGATTACCTTTAATTTTTTTCCCTTATTGCACTGGCTAGAATTTCCAAAAACAATGTTTAATAGAAGTTGTAATATTTGTCATCCTTGTCTCATTTCTAATCCTCAGAGGAAAAGTGTCCAGTCATTAAGGTTTTGTTTTTTGGGATTCCTTCTATTTCCTTCTATTCCTGGTTTGTTGTGTTTTTATGAAGAATTGGTGTTGAATTTTTTTTCAGATGCTTTTTTATACCTACTGATGTAATCATGTGGTTTTTGTTTTGCATTCTAGGAATATGGTGCATTGTATTAGTTGACTTTCAGGTATTAAATATTCATTAGTAATGGTATATAGTCATTTTTTATGTTGTTGAATTTGGTTTGGTGATATTTTGCTGAAGAGTTTCGTGCTCATCCCCATGAGGGACGTTTGCCAACTCTTTCCATGGATTGTCTCTGTCAGGGTCACACTGGTCTCAGGGATTGAGTCAGGAAGTGTTCCCTCCTGATTCCCTGCAGACATGTGCAGAAGGTTGCTAGCATTTCTTCTTTAAATACCTGATGGGATTTATCGGCAAAGCCATATGGACCTTGGCTTCTCTTTATGACAAAATTTTAAATTACTAATTCATTTCCTTTAGTTGGTTTAGGCCTATTCCGATATTTTATTGTCTTTAGAGGTCTGTATTTTTCTAAGAATTTGGGTGCAGAAATCAAATATATATAGTGTCATATTGTTTCTCAGAGCTATAATATGCATCTTAACTAATTATAAACTACTTCAATAATAATAACAATTCCAAAAAATATAAAAAGGTTGGTCCAATATATCTCTTTTTCCTTTCCCATCCTTTGTGATATTATCACATATAGTATATTTATATATAAATGTGATAATACAGTGTTATAATTTTTGTTTTATACAATCTTATGCCTTTTAAAGAAGTTATACAATCTTCATATAAATAATATATGAAGATGGTTTTCCACATATTGGCCAATTCTAGTGCTCTTTATTTCTTTTAAGAATTTGAATTAACATGTAGCATCATGTTTCCTTTCAGCCTGGAGGACTTCCTTTAGTATTTTTTTTTATGGCAGTTTGCTAACAAGAAATCCTTTCAGCCTTTGTTTATCTAGAATGGCTTTATTTATTTATTTATTTATTTATTTTTATCTTTGAAGAATAGCTGAGTTGCCTTCTTGTTTGAGAATTTTTTTTAAAATTTTTAATTTTAAAAATTAAGTTTTTTAAATTTTAATTTTTAAATTTTTTTAAATTTTTAAATTTTTAAATATTTAAATTTTGTATTTATTTTTTCAAATACATTTGTCTCTGCATTTCCTCCACCACTTTCCCTTGCCACCTCCCCCCTCCCTCCCTTAATCCTTCCCCTTTGTTTTTGTCCCTGAGTCCTTGCTATATGTTCCTTGACTTTCCCCTTCCCTTCCTTTTCCCCGGACCCCTGACCCCTTCCCTCTTGTTTCTTTTGGTTTCTTTTCCTTTCTGTGTTGCTGACCTTATTTTCCTTGCATCTTTGTATTGTTGGTTAGGTTCCACTTATAGGTGAGATCATATGGTATTTGTCTTTCGCCACCTGGCTTATTTCGCTCAGCATAATACTCTCCAGTTCCATCCATGCTGTCACGAAGTTTAGTAGTTCTTTTTTTCTTTCTGCTGCGTAGTATTCCATTGTGTAAATGTACCATAATTTTTTGATCCAGTCATCTACTGATGGGCATTTAGGTTGCTTCCAACACTTGGCTATTGTCAATTGTGCTGCTATGAACATTGGGGTGCATAGGTTCTTTTGTATTGGCATTTTGGGATTCTTAGGGTATAGTCCCAGCATGTTATCCTATTGTTTTTTGTCCTTCACTCTCTAATGAGAGAGCAATTGTTAATCTTATTACAGTATTCCTCCCTGTAAATAATTAATCATTTTCCTTCTGCTTTCAAGATTTTTCCTTTTGTCTGTTTGTCATGTGTTTGCTACGATGTTTCTAAATGTGAAATACTTTGTGATTATCCTACTTGGAATTTGTCCAGTTCCTTGGATCTGTAAAGTAATGTTTGTCATATTTGGGAAGTTTTCAGGCATTATTTCTTCAAAATTTTTTGTCTGTTTATCTATTTTCTGTAATTCCAGTGCTTCTGTTTCATGAATTTTGGTTTTGTTGATGTTGTTCCACATCTTTCTGAGCCTCTGTTAATTTTTCTTTAATCTTATCTTCTCTCTATTTTTGAGATAGGATAATTTATATTGATACACTCTAGTTCACCTCCTTTCTTCTGACATCTCACCTTTGATATTAAATCCATGTAGTAATTTTTCATTTTACTGTGATTTTCAACTCCAAAATTTCCAATTGTTTTTTAAAATTACTTCTCTTCATTGAGAGTCTTTATTTATTAAGTCATTATCATCGTACTGTCCTCTAATTCTTTAAACCTGATTTGTATTAGTTCTTAAAACATTTTGCAACAGCTGCTTTAAAGTCTTAGACAGTTAATACAACGTCGGCGTCACTGAAAGGCAGTTTAAATTTCTGCTTTGTTTCTCTTAGTATGGCTGCTAATCTCTTGTGTGTACATATCATAATATTTTGTTGAATACTAGATGGTTTTTGATATATTGTGGCAACTATAGCTTTACCTTCCAATTACAGAATTATTGCTTTGTTGGCTTGCTCATTTACAACTTGACTAAATTAGTAGTCTGTCTTTCTAGTAATATGTGGCTGCTCTGTTTTGTGTTTTTTTTAATTCTTTGTTTTACTTTTAAGTCTTGCTCTCCATGAACTAATGTTCAGCCAGATATTGGTTCTAATTTGTCCTTAGATGCCTCAGGGAATAAGAATTTCAATCTCTGCTGATAGATTTATGTGGGTTATTATCCAGCTTTCCACAGCTTTTAACTGCCACTGGGCTCTCTTCTGTTTCCTCTGTACCTCCACAGGCACGTGAGGGTGGTTTGGGGCCCGATCTGGGCTTTTGTGTGAATGCTCATAGCCTCCGGTCAATGCAGGATAGGAGGACAGCTTATCAAGAACATTATGGTTACCTTACTTCCCCAAAACACTATTAAATGCCTGACTAGTCCACCAGTCTAACCATTAACCCTCAGTGTTCGCCCTCCACTGAGATCACCACTTCAAGTGACTATGTTCCAAATCAAGTGAGTGCCTTCTGGCAGCAGAGGAAAGTTGTTGATTTCATGGTTGAATTACAGTGCCAAGAGGATGAGAGCAACCCTGTTAAGAACACCAAAGACTTGTGCTCTTCTTCCCTTAAGTTTAGTAGTTTTAAGGGATAAACATTTTTCAGTTTTGGGTTGGTATCAGAAGTGCTAAGATGGTTATGTTTGACAGTTTTGTCTCCATATATGGTTGCTTTTGTGGGAAGGACACACCGGCCCCCACTCTGTCATGCCAGAAGTGCCTGTACCCCTTCCTTTCGAAGTGGCATTTTGGATCTGCAACCGGGCTGTTTCTCATAGTTAAGATGAGTGAGGAAACTGGAAATTGTGAAAAAAAAAAAAACAAGAAGGAGAATACTTGTAAAGATTAGGATAATTTGGGTAACTAAGTACCAGATACAGAGTTTTGTTTTGTTTTTTAAAATAAACCATTATACTGGCAGAAGGCTGATTGCTCTTATAAGTGACATGTTGATTTTTTTTAGGAGATTCTAATTGATTATTGTTGGCACATTTTGCTAACTGTTGGCAAGACTGGCTAATTTGGTAATCTCGCTGGTGAAAATGAATAAAAGGAGATGAAATAAATTGATGACAATAATTCAGAGTTAATAGTAAAGTCAATAATTGAGCAGCATATCATCTCTGTTCAGATGGTCAACACTGATTCTGAATCCATGGAAAGTTTTTACTAAAAAAAGTGTTTTTGATGTGAGCTAGGTCTTAGAGGGTGAGTAGGGGTCCACTGTGCCCATCAAGACATACCATCTCTGGAGTACATAAATGGGAGAGGGCTTAAGGCAGAAGAGTGGGTGGAAACTTATCTGTAAAAAGTCTTGTGTACCATGGTAAGTGATGGGAACATCTTTGTTTGTTATTTTACAAATGCCTTTACTGATGTATAAGGTAAAGTAAATACACACTCTGTCGCTCCATCTTGTATCTTATATGTATAAGTGCAATTTTAAGTAACCCACAGAAATTTCGACGGCTCTTTTTTAATTCAGTACATCTCCTATATGTGTGTGGGAGGGAGGTGTAAAAAAATATCAAAAGCTGAAGAAGACATTTTAATGTGCTGTCACGAATATGAACTATAGCTCTGCATCTTCATTGATAACTGAGTACACCAGAAGAAAATTCACTGGCAAAAATTCTGTAGTAATTTTCTGGCCAAAAATACCTGTGTCCATTGTTGCAACGGTATCTAATATTCTCAGAAGATAACTCCCTTGATTAAATAGAATAAAATATATACAGGTGCCCAAAAATCCTAGAATATTTCATAAATAATGGCCCAAAGATGAGCACAGCAAAAAATGCTTTTATTAGAACTCATAAAATAAATTTTTATTTTCAGGGCGATGTTGCTGAAGTTACATTTGTAGGTGCTAACCCGAAGAATTCAGCAGAAAACCGGGTAAGCCTGAACAATTCTTTTTACAAATTTAAATTTACTTTTTGGCCTTTCATTCACTTGAATATCCCTTTAGAGGTTAACAACAGGAAAGCAAAATGTTCCAACTTGCTTTTCATCTGCTTTTGTAGGAGTGAGAGCATTTTCAGTGGGAACAGTTAATGTGGAATTGAGTCTGGAAAGAAAAGGACACAGGAAACATTTAACTGGCTCTTCTAGGACCACATATAACACAAGGCATGGGAAACTGCATTGTCCCTTGAGAAGATATAAATTTGAATGAAGTCCCACTTTTGTATTCCAATTTAGAAATTCAACTAAATTTGGTAAAATAATCAAAGGGCCAAGAGTGAAGTGTTCCTTTGCTTCCTCCCTGCTTCCTCTTTGGCACCTCTCCTCCCGCCCCGTGGCTGGCCCTGCCTCGGCTCCTGCGGACTGATCAGGAACCCCGAGAGGGGGCGCTGCCCTCCCACCTGCGAGCCCTGGCCCGTGCGCGGTGCTTTATCTTGCTCTGTCCCTTCCCTACGCTTTGCTACTGGCCACACTAGGATAGCTATTTATTAATCTTGAAAAATGACTTGTCTAACGTAAGAGCAGATAATATAGGAGTGATTAAGATAGAATGTGAAAGGGCCCCTCTATTCATAAACCTTTTTAGAGGTTTAATAGTTGGTTACATATAATTTTCTTTATATTTATATATGTATGTAATTATACATATATATTATACACATATATAACATTATATATTACATATAATGTTAATAGTTGGTTACATATAATTTTCTACTTTTTTATTTTACCATATATGTTTGATATAGTGCGTGTATGTATGTGTATTTATATATGTGTGTATATCTATCTATCTATCTATCTATCTATCTATCTATCTATGAATAAAATGAAGTGATTTTATTCCTCTGCAGCTCCCTTACAACATTCTTATAAGTACCCAAGCAATAAAGAAATATAGGGGGAAAAGGGTGTGGGTATGTGAAAGTGATTTCAAGGTCAGACTTTTTTATTGTGGTTGAGGATATATTCACTCTATTGATATTCACTCCATTCTTTCCTAGGCCCATTGTCACTTATACCCCAAAACAGCTTTCTTCCAAATGAGCCTTTCCACTTCTGTTCATTAAAATATGATTATTGCTGTCGATAACAATTGCAGCAATATGATCTTGTCAAAAGGGCATTGGGGAAGAATATTCTACTGCTTGGATAATTAACACGTACCTGTTTGAATTAACTTCTCTAGGCATCCAAGCTGTGCCAGAATATTTACAAGTTTATGTCATTTTTCTGAGGATAGCCAAGTGTAGTAAAACTGTAGAACTAGCTGTTATTTGATATCCTTAGGGTGAAGAAATATTAATACTATCATTATCATTGCCATGGAGAAGCAGAAGAAAAAAATTCTTAAAGCGCTGTATGAGAATAAAATTAATTTCTAAGAAGGCTCCGGGACTTGGCACAAAACAATTCCCCATACCCGTTATTAGCAATAATCATCATATCCTCATCACTATTTATTGAATGCTTATTATTTTCAGGTATTAGGCTAAGTGCTTTACATATATCATCACCACATGAGTCTAATATAATCTTTACTATTATCCAATGAGTTACATTTCATCATTCCAATCTTACTGCGGCCTAGAGAGATTAAGTAACTTGCATCCACTAATTGTATATCTGGAAGTGATTGAGGTTGGGAGGTGTGGAAGGGATAGTCATATAATTCAGATACGCAGTGGCCTAGACTTGTTCTCTGCTCTGTACTCTAGACTCATGAACTAGTGCCCACTCTATTTTCTACCCCATCTCAAAACCCCCAATGTTCCTCTGCTCTAAATGGCCAGAAGTAGCTCTCTTTACAAGTCATCATGGTTATGAAGACTTCCTTATTGAATGTAATCCATCAGCTGAATAACTAGAAAATAATTTGAAATAATCCCCTGGCCCAGATGCAATTAAGTGATCCATTCAGCAAAAAGTTTATTTGAATACCTGTAAATGGCAGGTATAATAGGGCTGTGAAGGATGAAGTTGTGAATTAAACGTGAGTCATGCCCTTAAGGGTGATGATATAAAGATTTTTGTGGAAAAAAGGAGATTTATGGCCTTTGTGTCTTTTGATTTGTTATATTCAAATCTGTGCTTTATTTGAGGCTCAATTCTTGGTCTGAAATAAAGTATTATAGCAATTTTCCAATGGGAAAATAAAACTTGCTTATGATGAGTTTTCTAGAAATCCACAATAAAATATAGGAATTTCTTTTAGCACCCCGGGACAAAGAGGATTTATGCAATCTTTTCAATTTTTCCACTTGGGGAGGTTTATTTACTAATAATGCATACACCTGGAGATGGAAAGGCAAGGAGACTTTCCCATTTTCTTTCCTAAACTGTGACAGGACTAGAGAAACTCTTGAGTATAGATCAATATACATGTCATGAAAAGGTTTGACTTATGCCTTTTTTAAATCTCGGTTTATTTTGTCTCTTCTCTGCCCTAATTTCCAAAATTTGTTATCAACTCTGAAATTATGCTTTATTCAATTTTCTTTAAAAAAGTCATGGATTTTAATAGACTGAATAAATTAACATTCTGAAAATATTGCATAGAATATTAAGAGAAACACCCAAGAATTTGGATGAAACTCTGACACATTTTTACCCAAGGAATTGGAAGCTCTGCACAAAGTCAACAAGGGATGTATTCACAGACTCATCGCTTCTGTGACTGTTAAGTGTCTGATCAGTTATATTCATTGCATTTCAGACCCATCAGACTTTCTTCACTGTGGAGAAATATGAGAATTCTTCAGCGGGGTGGCAGGTAGTGCTTAATGATGCCTCCTGGGAGACTCGGTGAGCATGTCTTTTGAATATTTTGTCTCTCAAACCTCGAAAACAGTTGGTTAGTAATGTAGGGAAGACAAATGGGAAGACTGGCTCAGTACACGATATTAACGATATCAAATTCCCAGCTGTCTGGCCATATTTAGTTGATTTATTAGACTTCATTTCAATTCTATTTTTCTACAAAACTGTGGTGTATGCTTTTGTAAGATTAGGTGCTAATGAGGTTACGGCCTCCATTCTTATAAACATCTGCTAATTTTTTTCCATGGTCAAAGACATCACTCCTAAAAGCTGTCTAGCCTTCTTGCAAATTGGTTGAAAGTGGTGCTGGGTGAAGACAATGAGCTAGCTCTGTAGAGCCTGCCATTCCTTCTGGAAAAATAATGAGTCTGTACCCATCATGCATTATGTGTTTGTATGTGGTCAATGATTCTTCACTTGAATTACTAAAACACAAGAGTCTGAGTGTTTAAGTCTTAACTGACTAAAGAAAGAAAGAAATGTGCTTATGGAATTTCTTCATAGGGACATATTGCTGTGGCTTTTGTCCAAATATAGTATATGAGCTGAATAGATATTTTGAAGATTTAAAAATGTGTCTAAAATAAGAATATGTTTCTGTTCCTAATTTTACAAATTTTACCACATGACAGTGGCATGGAAGTAGGCAAAAACTGGGCAATTTGTTTCTAATTCAGATAACCTTAAACTAAGTGATTATTTGTATGTTTGTTTGGTCCACATGGTTAACTGAAAATAGAGATTTGACTGTGGTGTGTCCCATTCAATGGACATACATAAATATGGGCATACTTTTTCCTCTGATCTTTAGGACTCCAGGGTGTAGGAGGTTTAAAAACAATAAATATATGTTTATTTTTAGCATAAGATTATACAGACAGTAAAAATGGGTGATTTATTTTTAAAAGCCCAAAATCAGAATGCAGTCACCACTGAGATTATGTATAGCTCTCTGCTTTGCTCATCAGCAATGGTACCATCCACTATTTGTTGAGAGCACAAGGCTTATGACTGAGAAACACAGAATGTTGAGCATACGCCTAATGCTCAGGGGATTTACTGTCTGCGTAACTGAGGGTATTAGTTCGTTGGCCCATTGTATCTCCTTGTATCCAGAGGAGTGTCTGAACATTGTGTCATAGTCTATGAGGACCAATGTATCTGACGCCATCTGTTTCTATCATCTCAGCCACACTTCCACAGTTTACTATTCCGATTCTACTGATCTGCATTGTGTTCCTTGGCTGTACCAAGTTTGTTCCTGCTTCAGATACTTTGCACTCTCTGTCTCCTCTTCCTAGAATATTCTTCCTCTAGACATCTGTGGGTTCAGTTTGAATGATATCTCCTTAGAGATACCTCTGCCTTACTTTCTTCATTTCACATATCATTTTAAAAATCATTCGTGGTTTACTTCTTTATTGCCTTTCTTCTATCACCGAGAAACATAGAAACTGTGGGCCATGCCTGTCTTGCTCCATGAAGCTTTGGACCATGTCTATCTTGCTCGTTAGTGTATCCTCAGAATAGAGTCTAGCACATATGCTCATGAAATATATATTTTAACAAATGAAGCTATATGTGAAAAGAAATATCAGCTGAAGCACAAGATGACAAGGGCTAAAACGATGGTATAGGAGGTCTAACGCAGGAGACATCTGTGTTCTGAATGTCAGGTAAGGCTTCCTGGGATGGACAGAGTTTAGGTAGGTAGAAAGGTGGATCAAGCAAAGGTATTTCTATGAATGGCTGTTCTTTAAAGGTCCTCTTCTAGAAAGTGTTTCTCTTTGGTTTGTTCATTGCTATACTCTGATTATCTAGACTAGTGCCTTGCTTATGGTAGGTATTCCCTGAATATTCATTTAATGAGTAATCATATATTTTTTCTAACTACACATTTTGTAAGAGTAAAATTGGGTTTGTTTGTTTGTTTCCTACCAACAGTTTCTATTGGCACAAGGGATTAATGGGTCATAGCAATGCAACGGTACAATGGCATATTTCAGACACCGCCCAGCCTGGAATCTACAGAATAAGATACTTTGGACACATTCGGAAGCAGGACTTTCTCAAGCCCGCTGTCATACTTTCATTTGAAAGCACTTCCTCCGTTTTTGAAGTTGCAACTACTTAGTGAAAAGTTGACACAGCATTTAAAAATAGCATTTGCTCTGTATAAATTGCGTAACTGATTTCATATGAATGTAAGCTATTATGATGACTCTATAGTTGTCCCAGTTTGAAGTTTCCTGCTAATGGGACAGAGGGGTGTGTGTGTGTGCGCGCGCATGCGTGAGGGGGGGAGAGAGACAGAAAGAGAGGGGGAGAGGGGGAGAGAGAGAGAGAGAGAGAGAGAGGTGTGTACTCCATTTATCTTCCTCTAGCAGTTTTGTACCTCATGGTCTACAGCATGATTTCCCTTGGGAAATTGTGACTGTTTAAAGCAATAGTTCCCCCAACATGAAACCTCTGAAATGTTAGTAAGAGTGGTTGAAGATGTGTGAACAAAGTTTAAACTATTTATTTATAGAATTATTTAGTGTTAGCACTGGAAAAGTTTAAAGATATCATCTAGCTAGAGCCTTTATTTTGCAGGCGGGACAAATGAAATTTTATAAATTTAAGTTTAGCATGAAGCTGCCGGACATTTCCCCCAGTCACATTTAAAGGTAGTATATGAACATTGACTGTAAATATGTAAGCCCAATTAGAGAAAGCAGCATGAAAAGTAGTATGCCAGTTTTTCTATATTGAGCATAGCCTTTCAAAGCAGTCACTCTGGAGTTGATATGCTCAGTCCAGATTTGTTGTTGATGCTCAAAACATTTCTGGAATTGCCTTCAAAGCCCCCTCACAGAAAGTGAGACATAACATTTTGATCATGGCTTGTGTCTCCCTAAGTGCCCTTACCCCACTCAGTTGTGTCTCTTTTTCCCAAGACTTGTTCTCAGTGATTTTTGACTCTTTTCACTAATCAAATTCACCACAAAGCTTTGCTATTAGTGTAGATATTAAAATAAAAGATACTGACTTGGAAGGGAGTCCTCAAAGTGGAGGCTCTAAATTTCACTGTTCTTTTATTGCTTGCAAACTCACTCACTCACTCACTCACTCACTCATGGACCCATTCACAATATTCAAGATTTACGCTTGTGCTCAGCATTGCACAAATGTCTGGGATAATGAGAGGTAGGGAGCTCAGTTAGTGAGATCATATTTGGGATGCATGTATAAGTGTCAAAAGGTGACTGTTTTTTTGTAAGGAGAAAATAACCAATACACAAATTCTGAGGAGACATTTAAAAATCAGTAGTCTTCCAATCACATCTTGTATATCATCTGTGTTGGGTACTCTAATTTTGGAGGAAAGAGGCTCCAGACAATTTGGAAAAACTGCTTTGAAAGTTATTTGGGGGCATTAAGAAATACTCAGCCTAATGTCCCGAAGAATGAGATATGACAATATAATATTGGTTGCCTGACAGTATTAATTGCATTTAAAGTTATCCAAGTTAACTAGGAACTCAGGCTGTAAAATAAACTTCCAAAAACCAAGTCATGCTTTTGCACGTGTGTAAAAAATTCAGAAATTTAGGGAAAAATCAACCTTTATTTCAAAAACAAACTTTAAAGTTTGAAAATAGTAAGATATCAATAATGATAATGTGAACATCCACGTATGTAAGGCTTGAACATGTGTTAGAATGAACCTGGAACACTTTTTGATGAGTCATTACCCTGAGTTACAGCTACCATAGTGATTCACTGGAGCATGAAAGAACACCATAAACAGGCTGATCTGATCTGCCGGTGTCAAAACATAGATTCAATCTGTGTCTGTGGCTGTGGCTCATTGAAGCCAAACCATGTGGAGAAAATCCCTGGAATTGGTGGAGAATGTGGAAAAAGGGGTTAAATTGGTGGGAGAATTCTTTTGGAGATTTTGTTTCTCGTGTCAAAGTGTCTGTGTTTTATTTGTTGTACTCCATTTACTCTAGTTTTAAGGATGCTGTGACGTCTTCAAAAAGTACTGTATGACCCCTCTATATTTTTCAATGAGTATTATATAAGTTGTAAATATTCAACAGAATGTTTAATAAAATAATTACCCTTGGGAAAGTATTTTCTAATGAGAGGTGATGGAGAAAAATGGACTTTTTTTTTTTACTTTTTAAGAGGTGGAACAAATGGTGATGGATTCCATGTAAATCAGGTTGGAAAGCAATATAAATGACTTTTGTAAGTAACCGCTCAAACATCAGGGAACTGCTTCATCGGTTCCTTTCTGCCCTCCAAAGATTTACTGCAGGGAGAATACATATGTTTCACATTTTTTACTACTAGGACAGCTGAGAGTTTCTTAGGCAGGTAGTTAATTGTAAAATTGTTTTATAAACCAATTCTGAAGAAAGAGGCTAAGAATGAATATACTTGTGAGTATCTTTTTTACAATTACCCTCTTAATTCTTCTCCAATATAAGCAATTGCACATCCTTTTATAATATGCATATATGGATAATCTTTAGCCAAAAGATTTCAGCATTAGATGATATTTTCATGTCCCTATTTCTTCCAAATAGTATTTTTTGCTCCTTGGTATCCCAATCTGACCTGCTGGTTTATACTGGCTTTTCAACTTTCATGTTTTATAGAAAACCAGAGAGAGAAATTTGCACATGTCCTACAGGAGTAGTTAGAACGCATTCAGCTCAAATTAAGAAAATATTCCTGATCAACAGGGATCCAAACACTAGAATCATTTACAGTCTCCTGCAGCATAGGTGACAACTTCAGGTTTGGTGTAGCCACTCAATGATGTCAGTACCTTTTTTTTTTTAATGAATTAAAGATATGTTAAGTATAACCATTATTTTTTATTCTGGTTGAACTTCTACTTTAAAAAAATAGATCATTGAGCTATAATTTTATTTTTATTTTTTTGACTTAAAATTTTTTATTGTATTTTTTCCATTGCCATTTAACCACCTTATACGCCCCTTCCCTCTGCAGTCACCACATGGTTTCCCATGTCCATGAGACCTTTTTCCGTTTTGTTTGATCCCTCCACCCCCAAGCCTCTCCCTCCATAGCTGTTATCCTTTATATCTATGAGTCTGTGGCTTTTTTTCTTAACATACTAACTTTAACTCTTAGTCTTGTCCCCTCAGTTGAAAGATGCCTGGGACTACCTCATGTCTTTCTACAACTGCATGAAGCAGCAAAAAGGAAGAGGAAAATTCTTCTCAGAAACAATTTTTTGGAAGGAGGAAAATATTTGTAGAATCACAAGTAGAATTTCCCTTTCATTTTCTTGTCTAGAATTGTGTCATAATAGCATTTTCAGTCTCTAGAGAGGGAGGCACGTTCTCATAGAAAGAAAGAAGAGACGGTGGAAGTAGCTGTTCTCTAAGTGTGTCAGCCCAAATATGTTTGTTGTGCTGCAACTTTAGAAATTTATTTCTTGATCCCACCATATGTTCATCAAGGTCAGCTGTTCCACATCTTGTCACCCAGGAACTCAGGCTGACAGAGGCTCCCATTCAAAGCATGCATTTTTGGTTAGGGGATAGAATACAGGCTTCTATGATTGGGGAATGTGAACATGGGGAATCATGCATCAGCTCTTATAGATTCCACCTGAATGTGATACAAATCAGTTTTCACATCTTATTGGGTAAAGGATAGAGCAGTCTCTTTGTGACCAGCCTTAATGGTGATCACAAAAGGCAAACCATCATATCATTATCCAGTTTAATGGCTCTTTGAATAATGGGAACTGGTTTTATTCTAGAAAATGTAGTTTAGAAAAGAACACATCTTGGAACCCTGATGATGACAGTACTTACTTTCTGTATTGCAGAATGCGTGCTTGCATTCAGGAAATATACATTGAGCACCTATATACTGAGTGTATACTGAATGGGAGGCATTATACTAAACCCCAAAGATAGGATAATGATGAACGCACAGTGAATTGTTGCCATCAAGGAACTTAGAGGCTAATAGAAGAAGCAGACAGGTAAATAGGCAATTCTGTATGGAATAACCTATACTGCGACAGTAATTTAGGGTGTTAGAGACGGTCTAACACCTGACATGGTTGTGGGGATACTGTGGTAACTTTACTGGAATAAATAACATCTGAACTAAGACCTAAAGGATATGATAGCCAGGAGAAAGATAACTGTGTGCGTGTGTGTACATACATACATGCATGTGTGCAGGACAAGTAGACTATTCTAGGTAGATGGAACACCAAATAGTTTATCAAGGGTGTATATAATACAAGGGAAAAGTGGTCAGGGAGGTAGCACTGAACTTTGCCTTTCTAAATAGTAACTTGATTTTATATTTGTATTAGCATTTTCCCTCTTGAGATTTTTCATTTACAACATAATGAGCTTGAATGTATTTCCCTCTTACTATACTAATGGAACACATCTTTTATAAACAAGGGTACTGGTTTTGGTTTCCAGTGAACCAAACTGGGTATCAGCCTTCTGTCTTCATGGGCTATAACTGTGTCTCTTGGAATTAAATTTATGAAAAAACTTCTTTTGCTTCTGTCCATCTTATATTTTCAAGTCTTGATTTATTTTTGCTTTTTTATACCTACTAAATTTGCAAATACAGTCAATAAAGACTATTCTCTCCCTTTAGATGGAATCTATAAATACTTAACATGTGTTTATGTTATTAGTATGTATAAATACTAAAACCTGGACCCACCAACATAAAGTACCTTGGCAAGTATAATAGCAAATTAGATACTCAGCCTCTGTTGATTTTTTTCTGGCCGTGTTTTAGGATGATGAGCAAACTAGAAGCCTAGGTTATTGGCTCAACACTAACTAGAGGAAAACAAATCTATCACCCTTCAGGTGTTGGGAAAGATTGACTTGATTGTATTCTCTGTTTTATTATAGCTTACCTATTCAATACAGCAGATTCACCTTTTACATAAGACCAGATTAATTTAAATGAACTCAGTAACTTAAAATCTATGAGCAATTGTAAGCTGGGAATAAAGTCCAACAGGGACCAACCCTGCCCCCTAAATGGTCACTATACCAATATGGAAATGCAAAGAAATATGAGGTATGTCTGGAAAAAGTCCAACCATTGTTAATAGAACAAGAATGGTTTGTGCTACATTGATGTAACCTGGCAACCAAGGAGAGTGCACTGTAATGCATGTGCATGAAC